AGGCGACTCCCATTACATACGGGTCCCCATTTAGTCGGATTAAGAAAAATGGTCACGAATACCTCTAACAAGCCACAAGAACCCATTGATTCCACGAAACTAAAAGTTAAGGGTAAAAGTATCACTAGCATCCCCTACAGTGCTCCTGTCTTAAACAGACTCAACTTTTAGAGAATGACTCTTGGTTGTCTAATGACATAGAACTTTAGGGAAAAAAATAGCTTTCACATCACATTCACACCCCAAGAAACAACTACAGGTTGCTCGATAACCAAAATTTTCAAACAATTATCTTACATTACTACACAAGTCCTCATTCTCTTTTCATGAGAAGAAAAGATTCTAATAAGAATTCCATCCGCCAATCATGGCCTTCGACAAACAGAACCCAATAAAAGAAAAGTACCACGAACTACATTCTTACCACACAAATAGTATTCCATGCCCACACATTTATTCAATTGCGTTTTGAAATATTTAAGAACCAAAAACACTTGAAAATAATATTTCCCGACCTTTGAAATTAAAAGAGATTATTCTTGGTAGAAAACTTTTTATATATAAAAAAATCTATATGTTTTAGAAGCGTACAAGGGATTTGTAAAACTGAAAAGTTTGAAAAGGAAACATATTTATTTATCTATTTACATTGAAGTAGTTGAGGGTTATACACATCATAAAACTCCATATGCCCTTTTTATGACTATTTCTCCTTTATTCACAGGTTCATCTATAATGATAAATTCTCAATTTTTGCAAAAACAAGGTCATACTCAATGGGTGAACTCCATTCTCAACTCTTTTCTGAAACATATTTCAACCAGTGACTGCCAAACATCACCTAACCAAGGACTCCATTGCCACCACCGCAATGTCACAACCCTATCACAATCATACAGGCAACAACAATTCAAAATAATAACAATAAGATGAAAGAAAACCAACGGGTAAGGTTTCCTCATAAACTTGGAGAAGTCGCATTTCCTTACAACTACTATTATGATTTCCAAACTCGCAAAAATATTCTTTCGCAACTACCCCATTTTGGGAATCACATGCAACCAACTAGAAACAATTACCAAGCAGTTACTACGATTTGTAGCTCTCGTGAGTGACACACACACGCGCGCGCACCAAGCAAGTAATTCTCACTCGCAAGCCTCATTTTTAGACTTAAGACAAGTTCTGTGATGACTCCTAGTCAACCTCTTCCGACGTCACAATAATAACTAACACACCACATAAGAAAACCTTCTACACTTACCTCATCCACTTATACTCGCACAACACACTAACATTTCTTAGAATCAAAACCATGATACTAACTTTGAAGTTGTAACACAACTCCACACCACGCTAAGATTATGATGTCCCACACAATCAACTTGAATTCAATACCTTCTACAATATGAACTTACTCAATGACAATTATTTACATCGTTAATAAATAAACTAATCTCATATCACAATCAAATCTCTCTAAGTGAAATGCAATATACATCTCTCACCAAAATAATGCTACACCTCAATTACTGCATTCCAACAAAATCATATTGCCAATACTTCAATCCAATCACTACTAAAGCTGCTTCACCCTTGAAAAATAATTTAACTCAAAAGGTTATTCACCACAACTTTTCAAAATGAAAATAAAATATAATTCTCGCAACTGCTCAAATCACAAACAACGACACCCACTACCATATTAAGCCTACCATAAAGGTCTACACAACTCAAGACACAAGGTTACACCCACAAATGCTTATAGTGGTAGTTAATTTGAAATCTCCTCCGAAGTCTCTAATCAGTTCATTTATACTCAAACTTTAAAGATACTATCACAAGCTATAATGCCACTTGTTCACTCGAAGAGATTTTCTCTATCAACAACGATCATTCCAAAACAATCTCCAACAACATAACAAAAGTACTTCGTACCAATTTTGTCATGACCTAAACTTGCCCCTATGGATTAGAGTCATAATTGGCCAGTAATCATGAGATTACCTACGACCTCAGTCAGAAATCAAATCACATTTAATAATAGGGGCCAAATTGTGGAAGCAAAACTTACAAAGATTGTCCAATGAGTTGTGCATACATGGCTTAACGAAAAACGTTCTCATATATGTAATAACTCATACTATACAAACATCCATGTTATGTATTACATAAGTCTAGGATCATTCAAAAATCAGTGTTAATAAAACCAAGGTTATATACAAATTTGGTCATACATGACCACAAAAGGACAAAAGGGAAAGCAAAATAAAAGTATGGCCTCTTGCGTGAGGCGACCTTGGTTGACTCCTCAAAACTCGGTTTCTCATTGCTTACTGGGGCTGGGACTGGACATCCCGCTGCTCACCTACATACATATAAATAAAGAGTGAACTAATGCCCAGTGAATAATACGAAAGTAGGAGTTCATGAATGAGATTCATTTAATCATAAGTTATAAACTAAACTTGTTGATCGATATCAACGCAAAACAACCTCAGGTCCAATATATCATATATCATATCCATATTCATATACAAAATGACCTCAGGTCCAATTCGTATTTACAAAACGACCTTTGGTCCATTATATGCAAAATGACCTTGGGTCCAATTCATATGCAAAATGACCTTAGGTCCAATATATGCGAAATGACCTTGGGTCCATTATATGTAAAACGACCTTGGGTCCAATTCATATACGAAACGACCTTGGGTCCAATCAAACCATATTCACTTTTGTGCGCACTTTTAGATCCGTGATCATGTTCACATTCTCCTTCGCATTCAAAACGACCTTAGGTCTAATCAATTCCTTTGTCAAAACGGCCTTTGGCTGATTTAACAGTTACACAAAATGGCCTTAGGCCCAATTTATATCCTCTTCAAGCAAACTGAACGGCCTTAGGCCCATTTCATATTCATATATCAATCATTTCACATACTTCATGGTGAATCAACGGATAGAATACTCATTCATAGTATCAATTTAGAAGTGTAGAAACTTACCACAAAGGTAGCATTTAGAAAATAAGGCATACACAAAAATTTCTTTACTAAGATATTACTTACAGTGTTCCAGTGCGTGATTCGTCTCTGCACATGACCCTACATAATTCATAACACATACAATTGAATCCATTCTTATACGTAAATTTAGCCAATGGTAGATAAGTCTCCCAGCTCCCTTGAAAATCCAAAGCACACATTCTGAGCATATCTTCTAGAGTCTGTATAGTTCGTTTTGATTGTCCAGCAGTTTGTGGATGTAATGTTGTATTGAATCTCAGCTCTGTTCCCATTATTGCTTGAAGACCTTTCCAAAATCTAGATACAAATTTCAGATCTCTATCCGACATGATGGACACTGGAACTCCATGCAAACAAACAATTTCATCAACATGAATAGTGGCTAATCTATATGCATCATTGTAGTTTTCACAAGCAGAAAATGCAAAGATTTAGTCAGTCTATCAACTATAACCCAAATAGAATCCACAACTCTTGGTGTCTGAGGTAGGCCAACAACAAAGTCCATGGTTATGTGCTCCCACTTCCATTCCGGAATAGGGAGAGGTTGAAGTAGACCTGCCAATTTTTGGTGTTCATCTTTAACTTGCTGACATTAAAGACATTTAGACACATACTCTGCAATCTCACATTTCATATTTAGCCACTGATAACTTGTATTAAGTCCTAATACATCTTATTGTTACCCAGATGCATAGCAAACATTGATTTATGAGCTTTATTGAGAATTTTCCTCGTCAACTCAAGGATATTTGGAGCACACAACCTGTCTTGAGGAATTCATCGTCTTTTTGTCTCTGCTTGATCTCATCAATGATTGCCAGCTCGACTGAAATAGCGGCTATCAATCCGTTTTGCTCATGTAAAACTACCTCAATCTCGAATTTCTCTTGCATGATTCCTTCTGTTTAGTAAGTAGGCAAGCTAAGCTCCCCGTGGATTTTCTGGTCAAGGCATTAGCAACTGTGTTGGCTTTCTCGGAGTGATACTGAATCTGAAGGTCATAATCTTTTATTAGTTCAAGCCATCTCCTCTGTCGTATATTCAATTCTTTTTGGGTAAAGAAATACTTCAAACTTTTGTGATCCATGTTGACTTCGCATTTTTCCCTATACAAGTAATGCCGCAAAATTTTCAAAGCAAATACAACTGCGATCAATTCCAGGCCGTGTGTTAGATAGTTCTTCTTATGTGGTCTCAATTGTCAGGAGGCATAAGCAATTACCCGTCCTTCCTACATTAACACACAATCCAGACCCTTATAAGATGCATCACTATAAATCACAAAGTTTTTCCGTACCTGTGGGTAATGCCAGCACTGGTGCAATGGTTAATCTCGTTTTCAGTTTCATCATTCCATTCAAATGGTTGTCCCTTACGTGTAAGTTGGGTAAGAGGTACAACTATCTTTGAAAAAAAAATCATAAACCTTTTGTAGTACCCAGCTAAGCCCATAAAACTACGGGCTTCTGTCACATTTGTTGAAGTAGGTCGGTTCACAATTGCCTCTATCTTCTGTGGATCTACTGAAATCCCCTCTTTATTGATGACATGCCCTAAGAAAACAACCTCATCTAACCAAAATTCACATTTCTTTAGTTTAGCAAACAATTTCTTTTCTCTAAGCATTTGCAAGATGGTTCTTAGATGTTGTTCATGTTCAAGTCTACTTTTTGAATATATTAGAATATCATCAACAAAAACCACAACAAATCCATCAAGATAAATTTTGAAAATTCGGTTCAGAAGGTCCATAAATGCTACAGGTGCATTAGTCACTCCAAATGGCATAACAAGAAATTTGTAGTGACCATACCTCATTTTGAATGTGGTTTTCTCAACGTCTTCTATCTTCACCTTCAACTGGTGGTATTCGGATCTCAAATCGATTTTGGAAAAGACTTGTGAACCCTATAACTAATCAAATAAATCATCAATTCAGAGCAATGGATACTTGTTTTTGATTGTTACCTTGTTTAGTTCCCGGTAGTCAATGCAAAAACGTAAAGTCCCGTCTTTCTTCTTTACAAACAACATCGGTGCGCCCCATGGCCAAATACTTAGTCGGATAAGTCCTTTATCAAGCAAGTCTTGTAATTGTTCTTTCAATTCTTTCATTTCAGCAGTAGACATTCTGTAGGGGGTCTTTGAGATAGGTTGGGTGCCTGGGACCACATCAATGGCAAACTCTATTTCTCTGTTAACCAATCCCCCTAGTAGTTCCTCAGGAAAAACATTTGGAAATTCTCTAACAGCAGAGACATTATCCATTTTGACATTCATAGATTGTTCAATCAAGATACTACATAAATAACCCTGACTCTCTTTCTTAAGTAGTTTACATGCTTTCATTGCTGAGATTAGAGAAGGTGGAGGCACTACCCCATTACCTACACGTTCAAATTCAACATATCCTGGCAGTTTAAACACAACCCATTTTGTTACACAGTTGACAGTGGCACAATATTTCGACAAACAATCCATACCCAGAATTATATCAAAGTACCGAATGTCCAAGTGTAGCAAATCCACATATAAGATAGTATTGCCAATTCGCATATCACAAACACGATACACAGAGGCACATAATACAGATTTCCCAAATAGAGCAGATACAGATAACAAATATGGCAATGATTCTAGGGGTCTAGTCAATCTAGATGCAAATATAGTAGACACAAAGGAATGTGTTGAGCTGGAATCAATCAACAGAAAAGCATCTTGATTGCATATAGAGATAGCACCTGAGACAACAGCTTCAGTATTCAGTGTGTCACCTGGGACAAATGCAAAGACTTTTCCTTGTCTCATTCTGTCTCTAGTAGCAGCAGGCCTCATAGTATTGCTCGGTTTTGGGATTGATCCGGTTGAATTAACAGCTGGTTTCCCACTTTTTTGTTGTTCATTTTGGGTGCAATCCCTTGCTATATGCCCCATTTCACCACATCTATAGCTTGCTTCGGAAATACGATAACAAACCCCGTGATGCATCATACCACATTGAGTACATGTTAGTGCCGTATTTCTAGTGGAGACCGAAGTGCTTGAGGACCCCGTGTTTTGTTTCTTTGATAATTCTTCCTCGAGAAAAAGCCTTGCCTCTTAGCCTTCCAGTCAGCTGGTGGTTTACTCTGGTTGGCCATGTTAGTTTCTGACATTAAAGCTTGATCTAGTACATCAACATAAGTGGGCCGTTTCAACACATTAACCTGTTCCAAAATATCATTATGGAGACCACCCTCAAACTTTCTCGCCTTTTTATAGTCGGTGTCAACCATATGTGGAGCAAATCTAGCCAACTTAGTGAACTTGGCCTCATACTCAGCCAGTCATATTGCCTTGTTTCAGTCCCTCAAATTTCGACACCTTTCTATCAAGGACACACTGTGGAAAGTATTTTTCATAAAAGAGTGCAAGAAACCGTACCCAGTCGATGCCCTTGTTATCATCACGAATTAGCATCCAGCACCTTCTTGCTTCATCTTTCAGTGTAAAGGTGGCCAATTGTACTTTCTGTGTCTCAAGGCATGGGAATACTTCGAATAACTTCTCAATACCAAGGACCGAAACCTCGGCCTTCAATGGGTCCACACCCCCGTGGAACAATGACGGCTTCATTTTCTTGAATTTTTTAGTGAGGGCTATTGTTCGGTCATCATTTTGAAAGTCCTTGTACCAGATGTGGGGGTTGCGGTTGTTGCCATTGTTGTTGCCACTACAGTTGTTTCTTAGTGTTTCTGCATGTCCTGCATCATTCTCACCACGATCTAATGAGACTTGCATTATAATCCACATATGAAGGTATACATAACATTCATGTACAGAAAGAGCACATTCATACAACTTGGCAACAGTTATATATCATATAGTTGCATACTTCAAATCACTTAGCAATTTGTCAATGCATTCAAGCATATATTTATCATATGAATGCTACTTAGATCTTTTGTAGATGCTCTATTGCTCATTGGGACAAGTGTGAGAGTTATTACTCGTGTTCTGATACCACTCTGTCATGACCCAAACCCGCCCCTATGGATTAGAGTCATAACAGGCCAGTAATCATGAGATTACCTATGGCCTCAATCAGAAATCAAATCACATTTAATAATAGGGGCCAAATTGCGGAAGCAAAAATTACAAAGATAGTCCAATGAGCTGTGCACGCATGGTTTAACCAAAAACTTTCTCATATATGTAATAACTCACACTATACAAACATCCATATTATGTATTATATAAGTCTAGGATCATTCAAAAGTAAGTGTCGACAAAAACCAAGGTTATACATAGATTTGGTCATACATGACCACAAAAGGGGAAAAGGAAAAGAAAAATAAAAGTATGGCCTCTTGCGTGAGGCGACCTTGGTTGACTCCTCAAAACTCAATTTCTCATTGCTCACTGGGGATGGACATCCCGTTGCTTACCTACATACATATAAATAAAGAGTGAGCTAACGCCCAGTGAATAATACCAAAGTAGGAGTTCATGAATGAGATTCATTTAATCATAAGTTATAAACTAAACTTGTTGATTGATATCAATGCAAAACGACCTCCGGTCCAACATATCATATATCATATCCATATTCATATACAAAACGACCTCGAGTCCAATTCGTATTTTACAAAATGACCTTTGATCCATTATATGCAAAACGACCTTGGGTCCAGTTCATATGCAAAACAACCTTTAGTCCAATATATGCGAAACATCCTTGGGTTCATTATATGCAAAACAACCTTGGGTTCAATCAATCCATATTCACTTTTGTGCGCACTTTTAGATTCGTGATCATGTTTACATTTTCCATCGTATTCAAAACGACCTTAGGTCCAATGAATTCCTTTGTCAAAACGGCCTTTGGCCCATTTAACAGTTATACAAAATGGCCTGAGGCTCAATTTATATCCTTTTCAATTAAACTGAACGGCTTTGGGCCCATTTCATATTCATAATCAATCATTTCACATACTTCATGGTGAATCAATGGATAAAATACTCATCAATTGTATCAATTCAGAAGTTTAGAAACTTACCACAAAGGTAGCATTTAGAAAATAAGGCATACACAAAAATTTCTTTACTAAGATATTACTCACAGTGTTCTGGTGCGTGATTCGTCCCTGTACGTGACCCTATATAATTCGTAACACATGGGGTCATAATACAATTCAATTCGTTCTTTAGTTTACTTAATGTTCTTATACTTCTTTCGTGTCCTTTAATTCATTTAGGATGCTCATCGTGCGCCTAAGAATACTCAGAAATGGAAGAGAACGAAAACTGGAACATAAAATAGCCTTTCCAAATTTTTTGAAACAGGGCACTCCTCTCAAGCGTAGCTTTGGTCGCTCGAGCAGTCTGTAAAACTCTGTCAAAGTACTGATTACATGAATTTTACGCTCGAGCGAGACATTCTTCGCTCGAGCATTGAGTCTTGCAAAACAAGGTCTGCTTAAGCGCAAGATTTGCCGCTCGAGCCACCGTGCAATTCTTCGTAAAACTTCTGGGAGCTGAATTTTTACGCTCGAGTGGACATGTCAAATTCTGGAATTTCCAGGACTATGTTTGAAGCTCATAACGTCTTTCCAAAGGTTCAAAGCTTGCAAGTTGACCCTAAAAACATGGAAAAACATTATATAACATGAAAGCATAAGTAGTTTGAACCCAATTGTCCAAAATCATGGTCCATCTTCCAAATCATTTCAAATTCCTCTTGACAAGTTCAAAAATCATGTAATCAAGCTTCATAACTTCATGGATTATGCATGCATGTGGAATGTAGGCTTTAACTCCATTTCAAATGGTACAAATGATCTTCAAAATCATGAGGCTCAACAAAATTATGCATGCATGTGTTAAACAACCCTTAATTTAACATGATCATTAAGATTTATGCTCAAACATAAGAAGTCACTATGAATCCAAGCATGCATATCTATATTGATCTTAAATTCATCCCTTTTAGCTTAATTCATGTAACTAACTTCATATATACTTGAATTCACATAATTACTAACTTCATATTAACTCATGAATTAAGAGTTAATTACTCACCTAGGGGCTTCAATCTTCCAAATTCTAGCTAGTTCTCGAGTCTAGCTCTTCAATTCTCCAAGCTTGAGCTAAAATCTTCAAATTGTGTTCTCTCTCTCTCTCTCTCCCCCCATAATCGGCTCACTCTCTCTCTCTCTCTAGACTGTATTTTCAGACCTTGAGCTCATAATATGAGCTTAAGTGTATTTAGCCCATATATATACTAGGTGATTAGTTTAAACTAATGAAGCTCACTTAAGGTTAATGAACCACACTTAATGTAATCTAATTATTTTGATCCGAAACAATTTTTAATTAAATCTCACCATAGGTTCTAAAAATCATGCTAATCACAATAATACAGTCAGTTTTGGCTTTTGTTGTGTCTATGGCCCTCAATTTCAAATTATAACAAGAAATAGAACATATTTCTCTACAGTGAATAGATATAACTTCAAATTCACATCAAGCACATAATCACAAGTATAATTAATGATTAACAGTACATCACAGAGCAAGGCTGTCACAAATTTACTTCATGGTGAGGAGTCCGTCGAATAACTTCTTATAAGATGATACCATCACAAAATACCATGGAATAAAATTGAAATAAGGAATCATCCTCTATCAAGTAAAACTAAATACTCTGTAGTTTCACTTAAACTCAAGTGCACCCAACTTAAACTTAATGACAATACTAGAATAATATATCAATCAACAAAAATTTCACCACCCTTATAGGAAAATGAAGGACCAATACAAGGGAAATTACAAATTTCACATCAAAGATACACAACAACTTATGGTCAAAGGTCAAGGCATGCAAAATAAATCTCCATTTTGATTTCCTGAACTACATTGTCATTATACACACCAAACTTAACTCAAAATACTCTTGTATATCCCTGGTCTTCACAATTTATAACTTTTAGCTAATAGTAACTTTAAAAATCAACATTAATTACTCTTGGTGGACCAATAACAAATTTCCATGTTCAAATTATAGTCACATCAACTATCCCAAAACAACTAGCCACAATCTTTATTGAATCATAACATTCTCACAATTTCATCTGAAATTAGCTTCTCTAAAGACACTAATTTGTTAACACAACCACTTATCATCTTGGTAAACATGCATCCGCTACACACAAGTACATCAACAAACAACTCCAAAACAATTGACCCTACTAGTCCCAAAGGCATTCAAAACTAGCCTACATATCCGTACCTTCAATAATCATAACACAATTTCATAGGTCACTATTTTCCATCACTAGAAATTTAACCCATTCTCATCCCAAAATTCTTTACCTACTTTGTTCACTTATGATTTACAACAAAATTCTGAATAAAACAAACTCTCCAAGAAACACATCCTTAACTACACTGTACAATTTCTAACATGCCAAGACCACTTTTATTCTCCAAATATGTACCAAAATAATTAGTGTAAAGCCCAGCATTAACCTCATAAGTGGCCGATCAAGCAAGTGAATCAACCCGACTATAAGTATCTTCGGCCATTCCATGAAAATTTACACTTCAAAATATTTACTTTTACAACGTTCTTACAATTTCTTTCATGTTAAGACCACACATATTTCCAAATACACACTAAGATAATTGGCCTAAGACCCACACAATCCTCATAAATAGTCAGTTGAACTATTAGAGCAATCCAATCACAATTAACTTAGTCCATCCCATAAAAATTTAGAACTAGCTTTACTTATTCTGACAATATCACTCTAAGACATTTTGCTTTAAGTCACTCCACTTATCATTGAGGCCTTAACACTGTATTATTGCAACTAGTCCAATTTTAAACTCCCTCCACCTCTAAAATTCTTTATATAATTCACTTTCACAATTTGATGAAAGACCTCAAAAAT